GGCAATCTCATCTTTTGATACAAGCCTAGCAACTGAAGCGAAAAGCTCGAGTGCGACCTTGAACTCAAGTTCCTTGATCTTCTCTCTGACGAGCTCTCTAATTCGAGGCCGGTGCTCAATTGTGGCAGGCGCGGCAACTTTTGGCATTGCCGGCACGGAAAACTTTTGGGAAGTGGCTGGAATAATTTCCCAAACATTGCCTACGAGCTTTGCAGTTGCAGGAGGGCGTTGAGTTGCCTCAAGCCGGGCCGGTGAAGACTTCTTCTTTTTGCCCTTGCTGCCAGATGACGATGCTGGCTTTTCCTCCTGCTCCTTGGCTGCTTTCTTTGCTTCTTCCTCGATGATCAACTTCCTATCTTGGGGTCCTAACATCTTCCACAATTCTGAGTCGATCCCCTCCGGACGCTTTGAACCTTTATAGTTACGTACAATCCGGTGACCATCCCAATGATGTCCATCTGGAATTATTTCACCTTTAGGGGTCAATTTGAGATCTGGAAATACGGGCGCTTCGGGTGCATCAGGCTCGACATCGCTGTCGGCTGGTAGAGGCGTACCTGGCTCGTATTCATACTCATCTTGTGGCGGATGCAACCTGGACTCAAGAGGCACAGCTTTGGGTGTCTGCGGAATGACCTGGTCCTCGAGGCGATCGGCTTTGGGTGCTTTCGAGTCAATCAGAGCTTTCAAAGGAAAGATGAAACCCTCGGATGGCAATTCCAACCTCTTTGTTCTTTGGATTGTCAGTGCACCCCAGTTGACATGATAATCTGCGGCTTCCAACTTGGCAACTAAGTATTCACCCTTCCAATCATGACCTGGTTGGATGTAATACCCAAGGAAAATTCCTTCATTTGCTGTTGGGGAGAGCTTACCTGATGTGTTATCCAACCTCTTGGGGTTATTCCAGAATAACACTTTGGCACCAAATGGAATGTGCATTGCAGGGAACTCTTCACCAAACCTGAGTTGCCATGGGGAGTCACTGCCGTCAAGCTGGGGGCTTGCGTTGATCGCGGTCGCATGATGCTGCATGGCCAATGGCCACATCTTCAAAGGAAGTCCTGATTGCAATAAGTTGCTCCGGGCACCTTCCAACATCTGACGAACTTCGCGCTCAGCAAAAGACTTTGATGAATCTACATATTCAATGGAAGTTTGGTGTCTGTAACCCAAATCCTTGATGGCCCTGATCAATTCTGGGGAATTGTCAGTGTACACAACTTGAACATCATCCTTTGATCCAATGAAGTGATTCAAACCATCAACACAGCTTTGTGAGTCCTTGGACTGGCTAGGGTAGACATACCGATATTGGGTGTGCAGATCTTTCAACACCAATGCGACTTGCTCCCCCCTGAAACCCTCTTCTACGTTTTTCTTGATGATGACATGATCCCCAATGACATGGTCACCGAACACCTCAGTTTCGATTCTCTTCTGACCACCTTTCTTTCGTGCCTGAGGTGCCATCATCCTTGCTCGTTGGCAGGTTCTGCAAAAGGGGTTCTTGGGGAAATGCGTGTATTGATGTTGGGTACTTGCAGCTTCAGCCAATAGATCCTCAGTCTTGCGGCTTCGGATGTACTCCTGCTGAGCGTCATCCTCCACATGCTCATCCAATTGCTCTTCATCTTGGGCTTCGTCCCGTTTGGCTTTTGAGCTCGACCGTGAGGTCGGCATTGCAAACAACTTTCTGAGGTGCTTATCCTTTTGAAATTGATCTTTGGGATAAACCTTGCAACTATCATCCAAAACTGGGACGTGACCTTCGATCTTGAGCTGGACGACCTTGTCATCTGGACGGACTAGGATTGGTTTGCCATTGGCAGGCCATACGAAACTGTAACCCTGATCTACACATCTCGTTCCTACGGAGAGCACAGCTGGGGTATGATCAAGTACATACGGGTGCACGGGATCTGGCAATGCGGACAACTTGACATCAGCAACCTCGTTTGCCTCGGTCGAACCATTGGCTGTGACTAAGGAAATCGGATGCTCGGCTGCACGGCAGTTCTTGGCACTAACATCCCTCAGCATTCCTTTGGACACAAGATCGGATTCACTACCTGAGTCGACAAGCCAACTAACACCGGCCTTTGGCGCGGCTGTGGCAATTGACGGGAATCGACCAATGTCTCTAAGGGCTTTGGGACCGCTAATGAACCTGCACTCTTTGCATGTGATGTCACGTGTGTCCTCATTCCAACAACAAAACCCACAACTAGGTGCAACATCTGAATCATGAAGTTTCACAGTTTCTTGAAGCTGTCTTGCACGAACCTGAGCCTCATGCTGTTCAACCTTGGATGAAACCGGAACATCTTCAGCCGTCTTGTATACCTCAGTGAACTCTCTTGGACGGTGCTTGACTGGGACTTGACGACCAACTGCCTTCACCTCGATCACATGTGGGGCCTTTCGGAATCTAAGGCGCTTCATGCTGACACTTGACTCATCGGAGCACGAAGTTGCCTTCGGCTGTTTTCGCACGATGCATGCAAACTTCTGGATCAAGCATGGAGCGGCTGTGGAATCCTTGCTCTTCTTTTTGGGAGCAGGTGAATTGGCCCTTTTGGTGTCTTTGGTGGCGGCAGCAGCTTTGTCATCATGCTTATAAAAACATTTGTCACCACGTCTGCACTTTCCCTGGGCATGATAGATACATGGGGTTTTGGCCATTTCTTCCTTGGACATTTTCTTCCCCTTATCATCTTTATTGCCCCTTGATGGTGAACGTGTTTTGGTTCTTCTGGGTGATTGAGTTCGAGATTTATCATCCTTGACATGCTTAAATGGACATTTCTTCCCCTTATCACAGGTACCCTTTTGGAACTTATAGCAAATCTTGTCACCTTTGCCACCTCGTTCCTGCGATCTACCACGACTTGGGGAGCCCTTTCGGCCACCACGACCATCGCCTTTGGCAGGTGCGGCCTTTGTGTCCTTAATCCCAGCCTTGTTCTTCTCCGCGATGCGGTTCCTGTTCTCCCTCAATCGTTCGCGATCGATCAAGTTCTTCATGGATTGGTGAAGAAAACTATAAGACTTTTCATGGGATTTCTCATGAGCACGGTCAAACATCTCAATGTCATACTTCAGCAACTGACTTGGTCGGATCTGCCTCAACAAGATGTCCCTTAACACAGCATCATCGGGGGTGACAGCCATGCCAGCTAGGGTAGCATCCCATTTGTTGATGAATCTTCGGAGATCCTGGACAGTATCGCCTACTTTGACAACACCCAAAAGATCTTCTACTCTGTAAAGGCTACCTGCTTCTTCTGATGTCTTGAAGTAGTCCTCAAACATGAGCAGAACATACCTTCCCCTGACCTGGATGCCTTTTCGGGATTGCTGCTCCTTGAAATTCAAGATCCTAGTTGCGAGGTCCCCTCCGGCTGAGCGCGTGAGCGCTGCTGATAACTTTGTATCCAGCGTGAGGAACTTTCCAGGATCTTGGAGTTTCTTCTCCAACTGCTCTCTGGTGCACTCTTGATCGTACACCTCATTGAGCCAGAGCCACGCCTCATCCGGGCGATCTGAACAGCTTTTCACTTCATCCCTGACATGATTCTTCCAAGTCCTATACGACTCCGGAGCGGGCATGTTGTTCAGCTTGATGAGTTCGGCCTCCTTAGTTTTTGGCTTATCCTTTTCTTCCCTTTGGGTTAAGGCTTTCACCAATTCAATAAGATCTGAGGGACCCATAACTTGCTGTTGCTTGGTTACGCTCTTGGGGGAGTCATTTGGGGGAGTTTTGATAGCTTCAGTGGGAGTGAAAAACCCTGACTGCGTTGGCAATTGAGGCTGGTCGTTGCCGACAGCCGGCTTTTGCTTGGGACTGCCACCTTTGAGCAGCTCATCCAACTTGGCCTTTGCTTCTTGCGCCAACACTGCAGGCGTCTTCAACTCATGAATCGGCTCGTCACTGCCTTTGGCAGCCTGTGCATCGGATGCTTTGGGAGTGGCAATATTGAAGTGAGGCACGCTAGTGGTAGCGGCTGGCTCGGCATTCAGGGCGGATGCTCTCGGAACGGAGGCATGCTGCGCTTTGGCAACATGCTTTAACTGCTCCTGAAGGTCATCGATTTGGTCCTGAAGGCTAAGGTTCTGAGCCGCTGCCTCATTGATCTTGTCGGCCATCTCCTTCTTGTAGTTCTCGAACTCGGTCCTCAAACTGATGAACCTGGCCTGATCAATTGCAGCCTGATCTTCATATTGCTTCTTTGTGGCAGCTATGGCATTCTTTGCATGTTCAACTGTCTGTGCATAAGAAGCTTCGAATTCACTAGTGATACGTTGCCTTTCCTCTGCAATTTTCTGATCATGCTTTGTGTTTGCCTCTGCCTTTACATCCTCTATTCTTTTGTCATTCGATGCCTGAACCTGATTCAACCTGACCTCCATCTCATCGCCTCGTTTCCTCTCCTCGTTGACGGCACTAATGGCCTTACCTTCAATCTCCTGCAGCCTTTGCTCATACTTCTGCTCCTGCATTACGAGTCTACTTGACCATTCGTTTCGAATTGAGTCAACTACTCCATGCATTATCTGAAGGTGCCTCTGTTCAGCTTCCCTCATGACTTGCAGGGTATTCCCACTAGTAATCTGGGACAGGTTGTTTTGTATGAAGGTAAAGTACGCGACAACGGGTTGGAACATTGTTTCGTCATCCATCGGCTCGGGGTTGCCCCCGGCCACATTGGGCACAGCGACAGCCGATGGACCTGACCCTGGAACGGCGAGAGGATGGTCAATTGGGGTCCCCATAGCAAAGTAGTGAGACTACGGCTGATAACCTGTATTTTACCAGGTCAGCCAACAATAGTTACAATAACTAGTGGGGCAAGAACAAACCGGTAAGCACTCAGCTCTTTTGAACCAACGCTACAGAGTAGATCGATGATATATACACTACATGGTTTTACTGCAGGAGTTTTTACAGCGTGGATCAGATTTTGTCTGAAAATTCAAAAACTCTGGTGACTTCAGTCCATCTTCTCGTTTTTGCCCATCATCCAGTTGGAGTTGTTGCATTCAGGGCCTCAAGAAGTGCAAAGCAACGGGAATTTGAAAACAACTGGTCCGGTCTCTGAGTTGAGAGCAAAATCGGAGCGTTGATTTGTAGGACGCCATGTTTGCTTTGGATACAACAAAACGCAAAATATGTTTGCAATCCTGAAAGCTACAGTCTAGCAGCAAACAGTTTTGCTGCTGTTTTGGCGGGCCAGTCTGCAGTTGATGCACTGTTTCAACACCTTTATTTTTGTGAAGATCTGCGTCTAGAGCCCCCAACGGTCATGAAACAGGTTGGAATTGCGGCAGGAAACCTGCACAACACTCATGGACAGCCTATGGTTGCAACAGCGCACTTGTGCTGATTGATATGCGGACATCGACTTGGCCCTTTTTTTTTGCCTTTTGCTAGCCGTCCCAGCTGAACTCATTCAGGTGTACAACTTGTGCAACACGTAACTAGGCAACTAGGTCAGGGGCCAACCTCTTGGAAGTTCAAAAATCCAGAAGATAGTGAAGCAAAGGATGGGAGTCGTGAAGATCCTGAAGCAAAGAACCCTTTTTTGCTGATTTCCAGGGTTCCAAAGAGCTCCAAGTTCCTGATCTCCACACAAAGATGAAAAGAAAAACCACCACCACGATGCAAGATCACTTGAAACAGCTGACAGGCTTGGTCCACTGCCCCCAGGCTCACTGTCATGGACCTCCACCCATCTGGTAGATCTTGGGGTGGACTCCATTCAGGGCTCAATTCAGAACCGAGCCAACGGCTGCTTTCGATCTCATCACACTTCGCCTCAAACTCTGGAGAGCCTAAATATCCGCGAACCTGGAAGCGGCAATGAGATGGTTTCAGGCGCTTTCGTGGCCCCAAATCGATCTTGAACCAACAGGTTCCATCGGAACCCTGGCTGATCTTTACAGGCTCAAGCGGTTGAGGTTCCAAGACATCTGCAAGCTGCCCATGTCCATAAATTTTCCTGGAAAGCACCACTTGAAAATCCTTTCCCACTGGATTTGTGTAAGCCTCAGCACCAAATTTTGTGCCCAGGCCTTTCAAAACGCCTCGGCAGCTTGGGTCATTTGCTCTGTACTCACAAACGTGGACCTCTTTGTCATAGCTGCTTCGAGGGGACAATCGCGTGCTGAACAATGCGCGTTGAATAGGACGAACATGACTGCGCTCCAAGAATTGTTTCAAGCCTGCATCACCTGTGACTTCACGGATTGCGCGCCATGTGAGGCTGAAAATGAAGTACTCCTTCAGCTCAACTGACTTTTTTGCAGGTGACTCAGACTGGGACTCAAGCAGCCGCAAGTGGTGTAGCATTTGGGGATAGCGCTGTGCTGATAGATAAGCAAAACGACAAGTCTGCCAAATCTCAGCCATCCGATCAGCTGAAACAAGTTCCTGCAACTCCAGTATCTTGTCGAAAACAAGATCCTCGGATTGAACTTCCAGATCTGTCCTCTCCAGGAGTTCACAAAGTATCTCACAGGCATCTTCTTGACCAAAACTTTCTTCAAGGATGCCTTCCAATTTTTGATAAAGTTGAGGAAGTTTCAACCCTTTTGAAAAGTTCAGTGCCTTCACCTTCAGTGCTGCTTCTCGACACTTCGGCTGCTGAAATTGGACTCCCATTTTGAACACCACAGTTGCATCTTCCATGGCAAAATTGTGAATGCTGCGAAGAATGGTCTCAGACAAGTTGCCAAAGCATTCCTCTGCATTTCGACATCTGCAATGAGACGAATCAAAATGGGCGGCGATAAACTGTCCAATTTGTTTGTTTTTGCAAGATTTTGCCTTGGAGAGCACCATGCTGAGGAGGCTGCAATTTCCTTGCAAAGTGTCACGGTTTTGCGGCGATAGCAAATCGAGGTTTTCGGCAATCACTTCTGTGCAAACGGTTCCAAGATCCTTGACCTGGCATAACAAATTGCTACTTGGGGTGATCACTTCTGGGCATTCTGCACCATTCGGGTCGTTTTGATCTTTGGACTTCAACATAAATTCAAGATTCACCAGATCCTGCAAAATCTGCACAGCAATTTTCACGTCTGTGATATTGGTAGCCTCAAGGGTTCTTTTGATTGTGTTGACGAGTTTTTCGTCATTGTCCAGCAGTAACAAATCACAAAATTTCAAAAATTTGATGACATTGCTGGCATCAAGAACCAATTTGTTTGATTCTTCTGCGGAATCTGTTCCATAGTGGCAATAATTCAAGAACATGTTCACAACATCAGGCGTGACACAATTCACGGGTAGAAGTTTTTCCAAGTCTGTGAAGCCACGATCCTCGAATTCTGGGTGCGAAATTCTGGCCTTCAACACCGGACTGTTCTGAATCAATACCGCACTATTCACAGGCCAGGTCTCAGATCCACAACGCAACTCCCAATCATACAGCGAAAAACCGAAAATATCATCACTTTTTCGCCAATCAAACGGCATGCCGCACCGGTCTTCCAATTTGAACTGTGTAGTTCTATAAGCCAATTTAAAGTTGCAAACAAAAATGAATGTTGCCGTGTTCAGCTGTGAGCCAAAAAAGGTCATAACCACCTGATTCAAAACAACTGTGAACGAGTACACAAATAGTGTCCCAAGCAACCCCAAAAAATATGGTTCTGGTTGTGCCCCAAATGGTCATTGGTTCACGACATAATTTGGCCAAAAATTGGCATTGGGCAAAATTACAGAATATATTATGTATACGACGTTATTAATCACATGTTACGTACCAAAAAAATGTGTTGAAATCTGGAAACCCGCAACAATATCATGCCATCCACTTGGACAGAAAATGGTAGCTGTTTCCATGCAATACGCAATTCACCGCATGTTCAGCGATTCCACGGTGCAGTTTCAAGATCAGACTTAACATGGCACTGTTGAATTCATCGGTCGCAACGAAATTGTTCACACAGACCCATGAGATCACACGACATCTGCACCGATGTTATTTTTAGCGGTTTCAGCTAGCGTAGGAACAAGTGACCGGAATGAAAAAACAAAACATGTGACAAAAATAATTTGGTAAATTTTCGGCACAATTTAAAAAAACATGTTGGTTGAGCCTGGTGGAGAAAAATCGTAACAACTGGCCAAGTTCAATTCCATCCACGCGCATGAAAAACAAAAATTCAAAAAAAAACCCAACCACGAGAATAAATCTAACCTAACGTTAGGGTCAATCGAGCCCAAATTGTGGCCACAAACCGCTGAATAAGGGAAGACTGGCCGGACGGTACAAGGGAGACACCTCCAAGACGTGCACGCCTTTTTCGCAAGTGACCTGGTTCACGTTTGACTGCACAAAAAATGCCACCAAAAATCAGTTTTCATGTTTTCAAACGTGTTCAGTGCCAGCCGCACGTCGATTCCGTTTCAACTGTTTGGTGGTTTGGTGAGAACGGTTCAAAAATGTTTTTGTTTGTGTTTGCTTGTGCGCATGGTCTTGTCTACCGAATGGTCCCAAACTCTGCCTGCCAACATTGCAAAAATATCAATTTTTTTTTTGTTTTGTTGCACTTTGGCCTCGCACCTCCATCAACTATCACTCAGTTTCGCTTTGAACCTTCAATTGCGTATGAGTTTTAATTACCGAAGGAAATTTAGAAGTCAAACTTCCGACAATATGGAGAGATGAAAAAGCAGTCGGAAGGGAGAAGAGTCAGAAGAGAAAAGATCAGAAGAAAGAAGATGCAGGTGCGCAAAAAGGTAGGAAAGTCGCGAAACATTGTGTTTTTTCGTGGTTTTGTGGCTCCGGAGGGTCGAAAAGTAGGCTGGCTAAAGCGGCGGGTGCGGAGACATCTGGGGAGATGAGAAATGAAAAGTTGCACGCCATTGTGGCGCGAAGCCGATTTCGAAGTGAAAAGGTACAAAACACCTCAGCGCCGGACCACTGGAAGTTGAGATGTTGAAAAAGTGCACGGCGTTGTGGCGCGAAGCACATTTGGAAGTAAAATGTGTTAAAAACTGAAGGGTTCGGAGCAGTTTTGGAAGTTGAGATGACGAAAAAGTGCACAGCGCTGTGGCGCGAAGCACATTTGGACGTAAAAAGTGTTAAAAACTGTCGGCCTCGGAGCACTTTTGGACGTTGAGATGTCGAAAAAGTGTACGGCGTTGTGGCGCGAAGCACATATGGAAGTAAAAAGTGTTAAAAGCGGTGTCGGAGCACTTTTGGAAGCTGAGATGTCGAAAAAGTGCACGGCGTTGCGGCGCGAAGCACATTTCGAAGTCAAAAGTGTTAAAAACTGAGGGTCTCGGAGACATTTTGGACGTTCAGACGTCGTTTTGTGTGGCAGGTAAAAGTCACTAAAACGTGAGGGTTTTGCAGCATTTTCAAAAACGATGGCAGGCGTGGGAGATTTGAAGAGGATCTGCACAGATGCATTTTTCGTGGCAGGCGCAGTACAAGAGGCATCTTCAGCAGAGATGTTCGGAGCTCAAGGAGCTGATTTCCTGAGAGGGGTTGCATTTTGGCGTATCAAATCATCAGCTATGCCAAGATGCTTTTTCGTGACAGGTGCAGCATTTCGTATGACCTGGACTAACTTTTTCGTGGCAGGCGCAGTACTTTAGAGACACGGCATGGAAAAATCGCAAAACGCATTGGTACGAGGCCGTCAGCTGTACAGTCAACTTTCCATTTTTGAAGGAAGTCTCGCAGAATTGCTTCGTTTTTGATGTTTTCAACAGTACGTCTCGCAGAATTGCTTCGTTTTTGATGTTGCCAACAGAAGTCTAGCAGCATTGTTTTGTTGTCGACGTGGCGGCTAGACAGATTGATCGACAGGTCGAGAGGTAGATCGAAGGACAGGTGGAGAGAGAACTTGACGGATGAATAGATGCATAGATAGACACATAGGGAGATAGATCGATAGTTTACTAGATAGATGGACAGATAGACAGATAGATAGATAGATAGATAGATCGATAGATAGATGGATAGATAGATACATAGATAGAGACATAGAAAAACAGACAGAGACATAGATGGCTAGAAAGGTAGCTCTGTAGATAGATGGCGAAAGAGAGACACAGAGAGAAAGAGAGAAAGAGAGACAGAAAGGGAGAGACACTCAACCACCTTTCAATCCATCAGTGGGTTCGCTCTGCCATTTTTGCGTCACACCAACTCACCTCTCCTATAGGTTTTCCATTTTTGAAACTTCCGCCACCGCCTTGTGCGGTACTACTGGTATTCCTTTCGTAACCCGTTTCCCAAACATTCAAATCAAAATTCACTCAGTCAGCGGCAGCAGCGACATCACTCTTTTCAATGGGGGCAACAGTCCAACGATTCGGCCGCGGACTGGCTTTGGGTAGGCCGCTGTGCACGTACTGATCTGGAAAAAGAAGTCCGCGTGGTATTGGCTGCATTGAGGTTGGCCAATCGCCTGAAACCAGCAGCTATAAAGAAAGAAAGATCCCACTCGATTCAGCGAAAGTTCAGGTCGATTCATGGGAGTCGGCCATGCTGATTGACAAACCTTTGAATGTTCCGGCTCAGGTCCAAAATCTGGAGGCTTAGAAATAGATTCAAGTGCACACAAACTTGCTGGACTTGAAGCCGCATGGCTTGAAGCAACTCCGTTGCTGGGTTTCGATGATTGTCCTCTGTAAAGTCAGACAAGGCAATCAATTGCTCCTCAACTTCATCAAGCCTGGCAATTTGTCCTTGTGTTATAAGGACAGGGCAAAACAGTTGCTGGAGAGCGGGGCCAGGCACTTCATCCATGGGTGGGAGACGAAGTGGGTTGGGATGAAAAAACAGGAGCAACTGAAGTAAATTTGTATGTCCAGAAGTTCTGTTTTGAAAATTCAGCGACCACTCAAACTCAAGGCATGCTTACAGCACCGCTCGGCTCTTGACTTTCACTCGCGCAAGCATCAACATTCCTTCATAGCCGACGCTATCGTGAGTGCATTGGGTACGGTCTGGCTGACCTGGTCATACAGACCCCTGTGGGACGCATGTCATACGGACAGAGATACTGACTGTATCACTGCAGACGGCACTATTTCCCAACGCACTTTCCCAATGCACTCAAAGAAAAGAAAATACCTGGATCAGACTGACTACAGGGATGGCACAGAGGATCAGAAGCGGTTCAATGACATGAGGGTCGAATCTGTGCCGTGGGAACCATGTATCAGCCAGACCGTTTCGTGAAATGCCGTCGCACCAGTTTTCCTGGCTAGCCACCCATTCAAACTATAGACAACAATTCAAGCCACACAGGATGGAGTGAACGATACCCGCCATGACATCAAGCTCATGGGTGCTGCTACGCCCTTTGGTGAGACTCATCAATGCAGGCACATTGTCGATAAACCATACCCCACGGTGGCCCCGAACCCAAGGAGCGAGATTGGCCAAAGCCATCATGATGATACACAACTCTAATTGTGAGATCTTAGCAGCTTGGCTGTCCCATTGTTGGAATAATCGGTCGTTCACTGGTAGCACAAGGGCCAGCCGATGTTGGCAGGGAGTCACGGCCAAAGCTCCGGCTGAGCCCAGGCAGACACCATCCTGTGCAGCATCAGACGCCGCCAAAAGCCGAGGCTTCCTGCTAGGACAAAGGGCGAATACGCGTTGGGGCCGAAGTCGAAGAAGACCTTGAATCGTCACAAAATGTGGACCAACTCGGCTGTCAAAACCAAAGCTCACGATCGGGCTCCGGCATTTTCAGGACAAATGGGCTAGGCTGTCTGGGAGAGTGATGCATACTGGCGTTCCTGGATGGCCGTGAGGCCGGACCGTGCAATCACAGCCAATGCAAGTCTCAGCGAACAAAACAAAATAAACTCAGGAATGATGTGTGTTTTCGTGTCGCATCAATGGAAGATATCGCATCCACAAGAAACCTACCAACAACTTCTGAAACATACTGATGCACATGTCAGATGCAGTGCAGGACGCCTTTACCGTTCGAGCAGATCAGATCTCAAATCTTCCAAGACTGCAGCAGCATTAAGTCACAACTACATCTAACCGCAGACGGCAATCCAACACTTCGCACTGCTGCACTTACACTCTCTGCTCGTGCCTGTGGTTTTCTATATACATTGGCCTTGGCATTTGAAACATTATAAGGAAGTCTAATCTCCCAACCCTGGCTGGTATTGTGCCAGCGCCACCAGTGGAGTTCGGAGACATATTCCTCCATTGCGCGATTGATCTCTCGCTGGAAGTCTCGCCAAAACCCTTCAATCTCTACCAAGCCGCGCAACCACCTATTCGTGGTTAATGCCAGAGTACCGCAAATCTGTCGCACGGCCTGGATATGTTGAATTTTATTCTCAACCATCTATTGAAGCCGTGCCAGCCGCTGCAACTCTTCAATTCTCGCATAGAAAGTCCACTCGCGGCCCAGACGAGGCGGTAAATCCTCTAGGGAAATGTTATCCCCCTAGGGAAATGTTATCCCCAGCGACATAAGTGGTGAGCGGTGTAGAGCGAGACATTTTTCTTTAAAATCTTGAGCCGAATTGTTGGCTTCAGGTGAACCTGGTAG